GATATCTGCATTTTCTATCAAATATGATATTTTGGTACCTCGCTTTATGTTAGTTCTTTAAGATCACGTCGTAAACCTGCTGATTGTACGGTCTTACATAATTATCGGGTTGAAGTATTTTGCAAAATTATTGATTGGCAAATTTAAGAACTTAATGAACGTTTTGACGAAGAGACAACTTATTTGCTTTATGGAATTGCTTGTTTGAATTCAATTAACTCATTTTCAAGTTTTGACATCAGGAAAATAATGAGAATGACTGAGTTATATCCTGATGACTTTGATGAATTTAGTATGGGTGCTCTTGAGAATCAGCTTGCAAGTTATATTATTGATGTTCGTGATGTTGATGAAAGATTCTCCGATCTACATGGGCTTTGTGATCTTTCAAAAAGATTAGTTCAGACAAAGAAGCATTCAAATTATCCTCCTGTATTTCGCTTAGTGAAACTTGCTTTGCTTCTGCCCGTTGCCACTGCATCCGTTGAAAGAGCTTTTTCGGCGATGAAGTTTATCAAGAATGACTTACGAAGTCGAATGAATGATCATTTCTTTAGCGGTTGTTTGGTGCCTTATGTAGAAAAAAATGTGTTGATAGTGTTTCTAATGATACTATTATTAAAACATTTCAAGATATGAAACCTCATCGAGTGCTGTTGTAATAATGTACTTAGTTATTTTTTGTTGATCTCATTAGTCATTAGGTCCTTGTAACTAACACAAGACTTGTTTTTTTATATTTTCTCTTGTGGAAGTGTTGTTACTATGATCTGTTTATCTTAACACTATCTTTGTGTTGAGAACTTCTCTTTCTATTAATGAAAGCTGTTAGCATCTTTTATTTGGTTTTGGTTTTGGTTTTGGTTGGCTAGTTTCATTGTGTATTTGATTTTTAAAATTTTTTAACCCCCTTCGCAAATATCCTGCCTCCACCACTGGCCACCATTATAATGAGCTGACTAGCCGAAAGGAATAAAAACAAACCACACAAAATCCATTTCCAGTATCTGATAAATACAAACAATTAATTTCCCCTCCACGTTCGCTGGCAATTACCTAAAAGAAAAAAAGAAAGAACCCAAAATTTATAGTTACTGAATATATTATATATGTACACACTTTAAAGACTTTCCTGAAGTATAAAACTATTAACCTTATACCAAAAGAGCTACTTCAGAAATGCGTTCCCATTATATAGCCAAAGGCATCTAAGTCGCCAAATACTTCTATTTTGACACGATATCATGACAAGCCTCAGTATAATTAAGCACTTCTTTATTTCCAATAATTAGTGGCGTAACCAGAAATTTCGTCAAGGGTGTTCAAACTTTAAACAAGTAAATAATTTTTTTTTGTCGATAAATGGTGTACCAAATTTTTTAAATCAACCTACACAACATTTAGCTAAATAATAAAAAAAATAGAACTATAGTTTTATAAATCACAATTAAAATAATAAAAATATAACATTAAAAATTTTACTAATAAAAGTAAGCATAAAATCAAAGGAAAGAGAGAATCGAGAGAATTTATAGATTGTAGAGAGCTTTTGTTGAAGAAATTTTTGTAGAGCTTGACTTTTAAATTATAAAATTTATTTAAGAAACAATGCTTAGTTAAAAGATTACTTATAAGATTAGTTGTTTATTTCTACACAAATTTTAAATCTTAAGAGTTATTTTATTAGGAAATTTTTTAGATTAGAAAAGAATCAAATAGACCACACATGGGGGTCTCCGTTTAGTTTTGGCAAACAAAATGAGTAGAACTTTAAATTCCATGAACAACACATCACTTTGAACACCCTGAACCGCTGGACTATCTCACTCAATTATGTTAAGGATGTTCAAAATATAATATATAGCCATGTAAAGTAATATTTAACATATATTTAACTTATATATGCAGTATAAATTTTTGGCAAGGGTGTGAGCTTGACCATAAGAAAACTAAGTTAGAAAATACGAGCAAGTTATTAATTTAGTTGAGTCGGATGATAAAGTCCAAGAGTAAAAATTAGTGAGAAATCAATTTAGATACTCAAGAAGATTACAAATTTATAAATAATTCAAGGCCTCCTTTTCAGATTTCACTTTAGGCCACCGTATAGGCGAGGTGCGCAAGCTTGATGGGGCTTTTGTATCTATATTCGGTTTTGGGGTCATAATTGAACTAATACCCACTTTGCAAAAAAGTTACAAGTGTACTCACTTTACGATCAACTTCAGACTTATCGGGTCTGAAGTTAAAAAAATTAGTCTGAAGTGAAAAAATTGCACTTCAAATGCACTTAAGGCCAAATAGGTCTGAACTGCAACCAATGGTTTCATGCACTTAAAGCTAATAAGTCTGGAGTGAAAAAATTGCACTTCAGATGCACTTAAGGCCAAATAGATCTGAAGTGCAACCAATGGTTTCGTGCACTTAAAGCTAATACGTCTGGAGTGAAAAATTACACTTCAAATGCACTTAAGGTCAATAAGTCTGAAGTGAAAAATTGCACTTCAGATGCACTTAAGGCCAAAAAGTCTGAAGTGCAACAAATGTTTCATTCACTTAAGGCCAATAAGTCTGAAGTGAAAATTTGCTCTTCAGATGCACTTAAGGCCAAATAGGTCTGAAGTGTAACCAATGGTTTCATGCACAAATTGCACTTCAGATGCACTTAAGGCCAAAAAGTCTGAAGTGCAACAAATGTTTCATTCACTTAAGGCCAATAAGTCTGAAGTGAAAATTTGCTCAGATGCACTTAAGGCCAAATAGGTCTGTAGTGTAACCAATGATTTCATGCACTTAAGGTCAATAAGTCTGAAGTGAAAAATTGCACTTCAGATGCACTTCAGGCCAAAAGGTTTGAAGTGCAAGAAACGTTTTGCTACACTTAAGGCCAATAAGTGTGAAGTGAAAAATTGCACTTCAGATGCACTTAAGGCCAAAAGGTTTGAAGTGCAACCAACGTTTTTATGAACTTAAGGCCAAATAGGCCTGAAGTTCAAATTGCCCAGAAACAGAAATTTGTTCTTCGAATTATAACAATTCAATATATGATTTAATACCTAAATCTAATCCAAATGAGCTCAAATTTGAAACATAACCTCCAAATATCATCAGGAACAAACCCCAATCATCAATTTGTCAAAACAACAATAAATCTAATGAACCAATTTTGCAATTAAGAAAAAGAAGAAGAAGAGACCCTAAACAATAGTATAAAATAAAGCTTCATAACAACTCACCATTGTAAAACATCATAAACTACATCAAAATATATTCACAACCACCATACAAAATCATTGTCACCCGAAGAAGAAGAAGAAAACGAAGGAGGAGAAGAAAGGGGAGAAAGAGGCCTGAAGTTGTTTAAAAAGTGGGTACAAGTTAAAACTTTTTTAAAAAGTAGGCACAAGTTAAATGGGATGACCAAGTAGGGCGCCCGTACAATTTTTACAAGCTTGACTGGCATACCACTGATATAAAAAGTCAAAACTGCCTTTAGGGGGCATGACCCTGCTTAATCAAAATTCAAAAAAACCCTTTCAACCACTCAGCTAAACTTTCTTTCCGTTTATTCTTAAAAATTTTATTAAATTAAATCATTCCCTGGACACCACCACCACAAGCTAAAAGCCATGTAAATTAATCCAATTATCTTCAACCTGGGTTAGGCTTGCTTGCGTTATTTCATAACCACTATTCATTGTTATTTCATAAATACTATTTATAGTGTAGTAAGGGTTGAGGATTTACCCCCTAAAACAGCCAATAATTTGAGCATGGCATTCAATTTTTCAACATACCAACCCAAAATAAAATACCTCAATGCATCATATAATATAATACTGAAAAATAACTCACTTTCAGAGTGCCCCTTTTCTTCTCAGCAGCAACAGCAAGTCCAAAAGCTATTACATCAAACACAAAAACCACAACCAGTAACAGTGTTGAAGCCATCTTCCTATTGCCAACTTTATCTTTTTCCTCTGTGCAACCAAAATCAACCTCAAAGAGAAATATATTTATTGGCTAATGAAGACCAAGAAGACCAAGACTTGACTTAAAAAAAGAATGGGCCCCATTTTATTTTTCTTTTACTCGCTTAAACGAACTTAAACACCACGTAAAATGAAGGCCAATTATAATAATCAAAACTTGGAGAATATTTGGCCCATCTTTATTTCATTTCTATGTATCTTGCTGTTATTACTGTTTCTTAGACTTTTCCACTACTACATATCTTTTATCTATACTGTTGTTTGCTTTGAGCCGAGAATCTATTGTAAACAACTTCTTTACCTGCACAAGATAAAGTAAGACTGCGTACTTTCGACCCTTCATAGACTCCACTTGTGGGATTACACTAGGTATATTGTTTATGTTGTTGTTGTTTATTTCTTTCGTCCTCTCTTCTTTGCTCTTTTGGACCTAAGGCTTGTATCAGAGAGCACATGGGACTAACGAGGTATTGGGACTGATCCAAGAGCCTATGGCCATGTATAATCTCATTGAGATAACAGATGTTTTGTCTCACTGGAGGGATAACGAAGAAATAAGTGTATAGAAATTACTCCTAAGGAAATAAAAAGCTACACCCTTCAAGATGATGAAGAACTCCAACATCAAGCCAAGCATATGAACATGGAGCCATGGACTTGGGTATTCGCAAGATTAGTCCAACTTACTAATGTTGAAGTTGGTAACAACAACAACAACAAAAACAAACCCAGTGAAATCACACACGCTGGGTCTGGGGAGGGTAATGTGTACACAGACCTTACCCCAACCTTACGAAGGAAGAGAGGTTGTTTCCGAAAAGTTAGTAACCTTGCCTTTAAGGAAAGCCCTATACTTGGAAATAAACTAGAAACAGAAAACTGCCAATGAGTAAAGTACACAAAATAAGTAATGGAAATCAACCAGAAAAAGATAAGTAAAGTCAAGGAAATTCCATGCTATTCTAATTGTTCCAGCAGAAAATATGAACCAGAAACAGCAGAATCAGAGAAGTCCAAGAAAACCAAGATCGTAATGAATATGCTAGCACAGAATGGAAAATGGCAGCAGGAATAGTAGAATCAATCTGTCTCTAAGGTGGACATCACAGTTTTTCCTCATCAGGCCCCAGCAAAACATTGTATAATAGAACTTACAAGTAGCACACAAATACCTATCTAAATCTATATCCCTACTCAACAATTTTGGATAATGATGAAGGATGCACATAAGTCACAACACATAATTAGAATCACTAACTCAGTTGAAGCAAATCACCAACCGATCAGGGTTATGTATAGCACATAACCAACATCACATTTTCATAATTGCACACATCATGGTCAGCGAAAAGTTTTGTGAGTGTAAAACCAATGTCTCCTTCTCCTCAATTGGTTCACTTGAACGCGTTCATCCTTATGCCACCATCCATTCTAGGAGGAATGGATCCTTCATCTGCCTTGGAGTAGCTGACATAGAAAAGCTCAGAGACAATGCCTGTGAAAACAATAAAAGCAGCGCCAGCACCAAAGACTCCCTTCCTCAAAACCTCACAGGACGGAGGATGTTGTGTCAAGTAAGTCCTATACTTTGTATGGTAGGCATTCCTAACGGAACCCGCCAGTAAGCACACTTCAGCAATAAAGAAGGTGACCCTGAAAGGTCCAGAAACAAATATGTTCAGAGAGATAAATTTGATTCTCACATATTAGACAAGATTCTTACACACCAGCGAAATTATTTATTTCCCTACTCCGACTAGCAAACACCAAAATGCAGCTCATGAACCATGTTTAAGGAGAAACATACCAGCAGGTGATAAATAAAAGAATAGCCCATGCTCTTGACTTTCCTGGTCGCAGCGCCCTCCCACAACATAAACATCGGCTTGCCAACATTATGATTAGCTGACTAGCCAAAAGGAATAAGAATGAACCCACACCTAAGCCAGTTGCAATATCTGATTCATACACACAGTAATTATACTCTGCATCTTTCCTGATAGTTGCCTGAAAAAAGAACCCAAAAAGTTAATTTTATTATAAAATTACTAACAATATATGCTACAAAGATTAAATAACCTTATAGACAAAAGAGTTGTGTCAGAAATGTCTTCGTATTAAACTAAACATAAGCGATTAGCACACATTTTGATTTCTATCAATCACGTCTTCTCACTGCTCGGAGATCTCCTAAAGTTTCCTCTTAGGCCACCATCTCAAAGAGTCAACCAAACAACCTCCTTAGATTAGCTGAGTTATGCATATATCTAGCACTCCTTCTGAGATAGGATCAACCGATTAACTTAATCCAAGAAGCTGGATGTGAAATTATCTCGGGTCACAGTTACAATTCTGTTCACGTGCTTATATTTTTTATTTTATTTTTGACATGGTAAATTTTTATTCATAAACAGCACTAAGAATTTGCTGGAATTATGTACATTGTGCCAAAAGTGTGAAGACAAAAGCATATCCCTATCAAATCTACAGGGATTCTAAGGGCTCTAAAATAGATTCAGCTTTATTTGCAAGTTCCATTCTACACCAAAGTAAAACAAGAAAATTCTGTTGAATTTATCCTCTGGATATGACTGTGCTTATCTTCAAAGCATTTCAAGTTCCTCTCTTTACAAACTGTCCGCCAGATAAAAATGTGACTGTGCTCATAATGCTTCTAGATTTAAATATTTTATTGACATAATCAAAGGCATCAAAGTCACCAACACCTTCATTCGGGTTACAATATTGACATGATATCATGACAAGCTTCAGCATATGCAGTTCTTTTTCCAATAAGTAAACCTCAGCATATACATAACAACAACAAACGAGCTAGTTGCCGGAAAAATATTTGTTCTAAACTTAATTTCCTCCATAAAGTTTTCGGCTTTTCACATTTTCATTGGCACTTACTGTTGAAAAATGCAAGGACTCATTTTTGTGTTAAGGTACATAATATTAACTATGATGCAATAAAAGAAAAAACGATGCTCGATGAACATACATCTGAAGACTATTATCCTAGTATATTCTAAAGTGAGCAAGAATTACTGGTACAACGTGCACTAGAAATCGAACAAGCTGTCATCTCTAATTTCTTAATCCTCATATTGGTCTGACTCATCCAAAGAAATTTCAATTTGGTCAGAAATTGAAATATTAATTTAACACAATTGTTCCAATTACGGAACAATGGACCGACCCTGGGTTCTCAAAATGTACTGAGAATGCACCAATATACCCAAAGTTTTATGTAAACCGATCTATGGTGAATATTTAAACATGCACTATCTCAGAGCTAGAGTACCTTTTGTTAAGAAGAAGTACTATAAAGAGTAAAGAGTTTTAGGATAGAAGAAGTAAGATACAATATATGTACTGCAAGCTTAACTCCCATAAAAAGTATGCCGGTGAAGTGATATTGGAACGGAACGTGGCACTTAATACAGACAATGTAGATATGTCTGCTCAATCTTCAAGCAGGTTGGCACAATACATGAATATGTAGCACAAAGGATTAAAATAGAGTGTTCTGGAACAAAGAGAAACCTAGCCAAGTGAAAGGCTAGGTATCAAGAACAGTTACGAGATCAGCAACGTTATAAATGTGTGGTCGTACAAGATTGGACAAAATTAGAAATGATCACATTGGATGGTGGTTGCAAGTAACATACACAGAGTAGAAGAGAAGGTTATATGATTTAGTCATATCCTATATAGACCTCCAAATGCATCAATCTATAGGCGTGACACTAAATTTATGGTACTAAAAAGGAAAGAGGTAGATCTTAGATCACATGCATGGGAAGTTGTCTAGTAATCAACGCAGACTTGGTGAGGAATAAAACATAATGAAAGCAAGGATCCATATAAACAATACTGGTCAGACTAAACCTTAGTTCTTGTCGTTATGCTTACACTAGATCCAGGTAGGGATAAGTGTATACGGGTAAGTGTAAATTAGAAAACCTTCAGCTGTAGAACACCTCAATTTGCCTTGAAGACATTACTTACTAGCAAACAAAATGAGACCAAGCATAGCGGAATACATAGAGGACTTATATAGCCAAACCCAAGAAGTTTGGATTGCATTGTATTTAATCCATTGATTGATAAACATGGTAAAAGTTCTTATTTATAAGTCTTCTGATAAAAATAAGACTATAATTTGGTAGATTATCTAATGTTATCTTGTTCTCCTTTTCTCTGTGTGCTTTAAATTTTTGGAGCTAACCTAACACAAGTATAAATCACTAGAGATGGCAATATAAGAATCAATTCAGCTTGCTTGCCAAATCCACCATCATCTATATACCGGATCAATCTAGTCATGCACATCCGCAAATAACAAAACAACCTCAAACGAGGTGAACAGACTTTACACAGTATTACAGCCTTTTTCATACTCTCATCAACATTGTTCCTCTGTCCCAGATTTTGTATCAGGGGTGGAGCCAAAAGGTAAGTTACAGGTTCCCAGTAGCTTTAGTCCGAATGTTGTATTCGTATTAAGAAATTCACTAAATATTTACAAAAAATAAATTTAGAACCCAGTTACTATCACCTAATATCATTATCCTAAAATTTAGAACCCATAAAGTATAATCCTGGATCCACCTTTGTTTTCTATGCATAAATACACACACACTAATATATACTGGCAGGGGGTGTAATGGACAACAACAAGCAGAAGCATGTACTAGGCCAGTAATTGTTTCTAGAGGGGCATGATCCTGCTTGTTCAAAATTCAAAAGAACCCCTTCAACCTCTCTGCTAAACTTTCTTTCCATTTTTTTTTTAAATTTATTAAATCAACTTCTGGGTCCTTCCCTGGACATCAACTCAAAAGTAGAAACTATGTATCCAACTATCCTCAACCTGGGTTAGGCTTGCTTGTGCTATTTCATAACGACTGCTCATATTGTAACCCTAAAATAGCTAGTAACAATTTGAGCATGGAGTTCAATTTACTAACTCAAAATACAAAGACTCCCAATACAATATACATATAATATGATAGTGAAAGCTAAATAAGAACTCACAGTGGCTCTTCTCTGCTCAGCAGCAACAGCAAGTCCAAAAGCAATCAGATCAAACACAAAAACCACTACCAGCAACAGCGTTGATGCCATCTTCCGATTACCAACTTTATTTCTTTCTTTCTTTTTTTTTCCCTCTCTGCAACCAAAATAGCTTAACTTTTTTATTACTATATAAAAGAATGTTAGATAAAGTGGGAGTATTTGAACTAATGGGGTACTTGTTGAGTAAGTAAAGCTATGTAAAGGAGACTTCTACGAAGATGTCCAAATTACTTTATTCTTTTTTCTGCTTTGTATACTCTGCTAAGCTTTGCTGATTCTTCAGGCTCGTTTGGTACGAGGATAAAGGAATAACTAATTTCGGAATTAAATTTGATATGAATTAATTCCATATTTGGTTGGTATAAAATTCTAGTATACTAATTTTGAGATTAGTTATTCCGGAATTGTAGTATTTTTTATATTCGTGAAAGGATGGGATAACTAATCATGAATAACTTATTTCCAGCCAAACAACCCCTTATAGTACTACTTTTTATTTTTATATTTCTCTACTCTTTCTAGCATGCTATACACTAGGAAAAAGCGGTATATAGAGCTTTGCAGCAATATTCCTTCCCATGCTAAATAGGGGTGTGCATTCGAATCGGTTTATCGATAAATCGAATCGATTATTTGTTATCGAAATCGAAATCGAAAAAATCGAAACCTTATTGAAACGATAACGATAAGCATATGTACAAATCGATAATCGATAAGTAATTATCGATAAGGGTCAAAATCGAATCGATAAATCGAATGCACACCCCTAGACTGTAGACACTTGTTAAATGAGTAATTACCTATTTGTGTAGTTTAATATAAAATACAGAATATANAACACAAATTATCAATAACAGTCAAGTGTCCCATTCACAACTTCAAGTAAGTGAAATTTACCCTTTTACATTCTTTTATAAAAATTTCAATAGTGACTTAAGCAATTAAGTTAATAAGTAGGGTGCGAACATTTGTAAGTATAGCATGAATGGGTCCTAGACTACCCGGACAATAGCATAATTAGTAGCTACGTACGGACTCTCGTCACCTCGTGCGTACGTAGCCCCCATAATTAGGAGCACATATTAATCAATTTACCGATGGGGTTAATTCCTTCTTACAAGGTTAGAAAAGAGACTTACCTCGTCTTAAAGCCTACTTTCCGGTCCAAGATTGTGCTCAAACCCTCAATTCGATGCCGAACAATCCACAACTAATCAAATGGTATATAAATTAATCAATACATGTTAGAAAGTTAGTATTCCAACTATTAAAGTGGTTACTAGGGGTGTGCATTCGAATCGGTTTATCGATAAATCGAATCGATTATTTGTTACCGAAATCGAAATCGAAATCGAAAAAATCGAAACCTTATTGAAACGATAACGATAAGCATATGTACAAATCGATAATCGATAAGTAGTTAACGATAGGGGGTCGGAAAACTAACGGGAACTACCGAACTAAAAGGGGTACGTAAAGGTGCACACCCCTAGACTGTAGATACTTGTTAAATGAGTAATTACCTATTTGTGTAGATTAATATAACATACAGAATATATATATATATATTCCGCTACTATTTTGAAAGCGGCTATACAATATTATTTTTCCTATTCTATACCCTTTCCTTTACCCTAAGTCCCTTACCCTATTATTTCCTCTACCACATTTAAGGAATGATCATATTTAAAGATCAAGGGAATGAAGTTCAAATTACTGGAAAACAGAATTAGCCGTGATGATATGTTTTGTTTTGTTTCATTTTTTTTATACCGTTGGAGTATTGGTGGCATATATTTGATCCCTTACTTTAGTTTTGTTGCATGTGCTTGTTGACACAATTTTTATATTATAAATGGTGTTCGTCTTGTTTTAGCTTCTTTTTGTCCATATTAGTTAGACGCATTTATAGCGATATACTTTCCGTGGAATCCCGCAAATTTTCTTATTGGTGTAATCGATAACCGAATCGATAGGCCCCCAAAATCGATAAATCGAAATCGAAAAAATCGAAACCTTATTAAAACGATAACGATAAGCATATGTACAAATCGATAATCGATATGTAATTATCGATAAGGGTCAAAATCGAATCGATAAATCGAATGCACACCCCTAATGCTAAACCAGCTATAGGATTTAGGTTATTCCGTAATTTGACCAAATGATATCAAGTTAGTTAACTTTTCTTATGAGATTATAAATTAGTATTTGTTATAAAAAATTCTCTATAATTTTTGTTGGTAAAATACATTATATTACTTAAATGTGATTAAATTAAAGAAATATGTGTGCAAACACATGGCATGTATTTAATAATATCGTATGATCATTAAATGAGAATAAATTTTCACCATCCTTACAAATTTAGTTGTAGAAAGTTACTGTTTTCGTTTTTGAATAAAGTGGTCACGGTTCCGGTGAAGGAAAAGTAAAGTGGTCACGTGTGTCCCACCGGGTGCAAAGAAGCGTCCAACTAATCTTGGTTTCTTTTTAGCCCGTTTGAATTGGCTTGTTTTAAGTATTTTTAAGTTAAAATAGCTTTTAAGCCATTTCGTACTGTTTGAATAAAATAAAAAAGTACTTTTACGCACTTATTTTTAAGCTAAAATGACAAAAACAAACCAAAAACAAAAAGTTAGAATTCCTAACTTATGGCTTAAAAGCTATTTTAACTTAAAAGTCACTTAAAACAAGCCCATCCAAACGGGCTCTTGTCTTGTTTTCTAATTTTAGAGGCATGAGACTACACCCCTTTGACATCTTTCAAAATTTTATTAGCTTAATCTTTGCAAAAGTTTTTGAATTTTTATAAAGAAAAATATTGGAGAATTATTAAAGAATATACATGATTGGCCTATAAGGTCGTTTATATGTTATGCCGTTCATATTGAAGGTCTAATTAGGGGCGGATCTATAATTTAATGATTGCGGGTGCTATTTTTTTAATGCAAACCAATTATTAGTGAAGGAGACTGAACTATAGTGTATGTTTAATCGTTACGCTGGAGTTCTAGTGTACTTATGCTGGAACTCCATCATATTATGCTGGAGTTCCAGCATACTTATTCTGGAATTCCAGTATAATATGCTGGAACTCCAGCATAATATACTGGAGTATTTTCCGGGTTTTGAACAGTATTTTCGCTCAGATTTATCTTTATATAAAAAGTGTCTAAATTTCGATTACTTTTGAAATTAGGCTATTTTTGAACGACCAATTGTAAATCTGGCAATTTTTAAAATTTACCCCTAAACAATGGGTCATAACTCAACCCGCTCAACTTGACCCATGTTTTAGAACCATGCTCATCTTGCATAAAAAAGGCTTTTACCTTAAAATGTGTAAGTTGAAAAAAAATATTGCGGGTGGGGGTAGGGTTGGGGGTTGAGACGGGTAGCTGGTGCAGAAAAACGAAAAAACATAAAACATAAAATTGAAAATAAAAAAAGAAAGTAAAAAAAAATAAATATTTTAAGGATAAAATAGTAAAGATCTTGGTCAAACTTAAAGTGCTTATAAGCTAAAAATTCTGGGTGTGACCAACCTATGGCTTTGGCTTATTTTTGACTTATAAGCACTTGGCTTATAAGCACTTTCAACTTTACCAAACGCGTAGATAAGCCGAAAAGTGCTTATAAACTAGTTTGACCAACTTATAAGCTTCGTGTGACGACCCGACCCGTCGTCTCATGTGTTACTACTCCGTTTCCCCCATTTTATGCTTCTTCATGTTTCGTTATCGGTATGTGGTTTGTTAGAGTTGATTTGGATTGGTTTGGATAAGAAATGAGACACTTAGTCTCTTTAAGGAAGGCTTAAGTTGGAAAAGTCAACCGGACGCTGACTTATGAGTTATAGGGCTCAGATGTAATTTTCGGTGATTCGGTTAGCTTCGGGGGATGATTTGTGGCATAGGAGTGCGATCGGAATTGATTTTTGGAGGTCCGGTGTAGAATTACGCTTGAATTGGCGAAGTTAGTATTTTGGCGAATTCCGGTTGGCAGGTGAGATTTTGATCCGAAGGTCGGAATAGAATTCCGAGAGCTGCTGTAGCTTCGACATGTGATTTGTGATGTGTGTGCAAAATTTCAGGTCATTCGGACGTCGTTTGGTTAGGTTTTTGATCGAATGCGTGTTTCGGAAGTTCTTGAAGAACTTAGGCTTTAATCCGATGTGAATTGATGATTTCAGTGTTGTTAGGCGTGTTTTGATGATTGGAACAAGTTCGTATGATGTTTTGGGGTAGGTTGGTATTTTTGGTTGAGGTCCCGGGGGCCTCGGGGTGATTTCGGGTGATCAAACGGAAGAAAATTTGACTTGGAGTGTTGCAGATTTTCAGCAGCTGTTGCAGGCATAATTTTGCCTTCGCGTTCGCATGGCATAGGTCGCGTTCGCGTAGGCCTGTTTCTGTTGGTCATCACGTTCGCGGGTGGGACCCCGCGTTCGCGTAGGAGGAGTCTGGGGGCCCAGCTTGGTTTATTCATCGCGTTCACGATGGTGATGTCGCGTTCGCGTAAGAGGGCCTGGGAGTGCATCGCGTTCGCGTCTGGTGCTACGCGTTCGCGTAGAGTAAAAATTGGTCTGTGGAAATTTTGTTCATCGCGAACGCGAGAGGACCCTCGCGTTCGCATAGAAGGAACTGGGCATCACAGAAGGGTTAATTAAGGACATTTCATCTGCGACCCATTTGATATTTCCTCCATTTTTGAACCACCTCAAGAGCTTTTTGGTAGGACTTGAAGAGGATTTTGACGGGAATCGATTGGAGGTAAGTCTCGTGACCTAGAAACGCTATTTATTTGAAGAATCAACCTTTAATTCATGGAAATTGGAGTAAAAAAATTGGAAGAGCTAGGGCTTGAGTTTTTATATTTCAAATTGGGATTTGATAGGTCATTTGAGCTCGGATTTGGGAGTTCTTGGTATGTACGGACTCATGGCGAGACAAGGAATCCGGTAATGTAAGTTTCATAATTTTTCGAGAAGCGGTCCCGGGGCTCGGGTTTTGCTAGTTTCGAGATTTTTGATATATTTCGATTGTTTTCGATTGGGCATCGTTCCCTTGGCATATTGTGATGTATTCGCTCTGATTTTGGTTAGATTCGACGCGCGTGGAGGCCGGTTCGAGGGGCAAGGGCGTCGCGGGCTAGAGATTTCGCCGGTTCGAGGTGAGTAATGAT